GTAAAACTATTTACATGAAGTTTTCACAAAGTGGGGAACTTCTACTGACTTTAATTTTGAAATGTCTGGCCTCACTGTGGCCCTCCTCCAGTTGCCCCTTTCCTGTTGTTCAGCTGAAAGGACATCTCAGCAGAGCTTTCTTTAAAAGGAGGTCATTACTTTCCACAAACACCAGGGGGCATCACTCTTTCACTTTTGGAGCTGAAGTGAAAGAGGAAGGCTTACATCCATTCCCTGAATCTGATGTTATTTATCTGTGTTCATAAATCTCCAACAGCATTGGAGTGCCAAATGATGCCAAATGATGACAGAACCGGCACTGTTTCACACACGGCTGTAGACACTCACTGTTGTACCTCTCCCCTGACCTCCTCCATACACATTGGCCACACCTGGCATACCACAGCCTTTTCCTTGTTTCACTTCCTTGGGTTTTTGACAGATGACACACCTTCACATGTCCAGCTTCTTCAGATTTGTTAAAGACACATGGCGCACTCTCCTGAGATATAACTAGTGTTCATTTGAAGACTTGGTAGATTCAGCTAAAGAAATTGACTACATAGGTGTTTGCGTGCATAAAAGAAGAGGCTCCTAGTAACAAAATGCCAACAGATACAATTTCTAATCAGTTCTTTAATAAGTTATCTGTAGACAAAAGACTGGTTTATCCCTTGAGTTAGATGGCTTTTTAATACTTGAATAATCCACAGGTCAGCATTAAGCGGTCAAACATCAAAAAACAAAAAAACAAAAACACACAAACACATTCCTCAGTAGCTGATGTTCAATAAAATACTTCCAGAAAGACAACAGAACTACTGCTCAAGATCTCTTCAAAATTACAAGATAGTCTGGCTGCTTGGAAGCGAAACATAAAGAAAATGAGGGGTCACATCACTGGAAACTCATAGAATCAAAGGATCAAATTAAACACGTGGTTTAACGTTGAGAGAAAAGTAATCTGCCTCACCCTGGTGGGACAATGTGGTGAGAAAACTAAAAGGTTACAGTCTGAAACCTGCTGTGTCACGAGACTTTTTTTTGATGTATCATGTAACAATAAAAATATGAAACATCCAAACCATAGCTACGTCTAAGGACTAAATTTCTGCTTATGAGCGAAGAGGTCACAGTGTGTTTAGAGAGAGAGAGAGAG